AATATCTTTGGGATCAAATGGGTCATTCCAGCAACCAGTAAGAATCTCCTCTGCAGCTGGATGTATTTCAAAGGAAATAAGATGCTGAAAACCATACAGAGGGCTATTCCTGGTTGTATGTTTTGGACTATATGGAGGGCAAGAAACTTGAGGTGTTTTGCGGGCAAAGAAATTACTATACGGGTGCTGAAATTTAAATATCTATGTAACTTAGCTACATGGTGTAATCTAGAGAATATGTATGATGAGGGGAGACTATTAAGATTTTATAGATTCATAGCAGAGTTGAGCTTCATTCTATTCTAGCAGATGTAACATCCTGTATTATCTTAGTGCTGGAACTTTATATGAATTAAAAAAGGGACATTTTCGATTTCAAGGATCAGTAGAATTCCATAAACTCTTTAACAACATTCAGAAAAATGATGACTTTCCAACAACTGATCATATAATTAACTTTTTTCCAGAAGAACCCATTCTATCTATCTATGTGGACTATTTACATGACTGGTCTCCGTCGTAGAATTATCACTAAAAAACAGCATCCTTTTCCTATGATAAAAATGAATAAATACATCATCATTACCAGATCATTAAGACGCTTTTGCAACATGTTGTTTTCGGCTTCTTTTGTCTGAAGCTGAACAAGCAAAATTTTAGAAGAAATCGTGAACCATGAGAGATATTAATTAGTACACTGACAAATTAGTCTATAAGATAAAAAAAATACCTTTGAGGCCAGTGCTCTATTTGCTTCATCCAGCTCTGCATTATTTTTTTGCACTTGTTTCAATTGAGAAACTAAACCACTCATATCACTCTGCAGTTTGCCAATTACGCATTCACAATAAGGAGGGGGAAAAACCGAAAAATTAAGAGAAGAGAAGTGCAAATTGAGACCTCTGATAGTCGAGTTGTACTCTCAGATCTTTTAATCCCCACAACCTCTGTCCGAAAATTAAAAAAAAAAAAAGAAAATTATTAGGATGAGAAGAAGAAAAGAGAAAAGGGTTCAGAAGATTAAAGCATACCATTAGGGATATTGGTAAGATCGGGTCCAGAAGAGGTTTTGCTTAATCTCTCTGCTGCTCTCTTTTGACGAATCTCTTCCAACTGAAAAATGTTATATGTAATATCATAAGCAGCGCAGCGCAGCGCAGAAGAAACAACTTGCGGAGGAATAAAATTCTTACCGTTCGACGGGCAAGGGAGGCGTGGCGAGAGTCCATATCGGGAAAGTCAATCAAATCGGACTGACGCCTATCTCAGACCCCTGTTTTGCCTAAATCAAATCTTTGTTGCTGTAGCCTGTATGTGTACACATTTGGAGTGCACAACTGAAATTATTAGTTATAAAACAAATAAGTATAAAACATAGTTTTGATCCAATGTGGAATATTTCTATTGTTTACAAACTTTAAATAAATACATTTACTTTAATAAATTCACCTTTTATCTTGGAATAATATATGTAAAAAATTTACTTATATGAATAATGGGATCTGTTTATATATATATATATATATATATATATATATATATATATATATATATATATATATATATATATATATATATATATATATATATATATATATATATATA